CTATACTTCTTTTTATAACAACTAGAAATTCAGATGTAATAATAATAATCTCTAATGATAACGTAGTCTCTCTGCATATGTGTTTCTCCCCATTCAGACACATGGCTATTGTTTGTAAAACAAATACAATATGGAACCATGTAATGATGATTAAATCCTGGAAAATGGTTTGTTAGATAAGGCTTAATTCATCAACATTGAAGAATATGGAGCTCCTCCAATGGAAAGTCCTATAGAAGTTCCAAGTATTATTATTAAATATATTGAAAATTGAGTTTAGCTGTTTCTTTTATTATAACTCATTGTAGCAATAGGCTTGTAGATTCACGCTCCTATGTGTTCATTACTCAGTTTCTCTCTTGCTCTAAATAAACGGTAATATGAATAAATATATTCCTCTTAGAATTCTTATAAATAAATATTCATGTATCCACGCACACAACACTCACTCATGAACTGCTAATGCTGCTCAGGTTTTTTCTCTCATTTATCTTCATACCAATCTAAAAAATGAAAATGTTTCTGATAATTAAAAGTATTTACAAGGATGCATTTTATTTATGCACAAGTCACCAAAGCAGTTTTGTCTAAATTATATTAGAGTTGTTTACTTCCAAAAATTCTGCAGTGTATGGTGTATCCTGTATCAATTTCTCCCATCTGAGTTGGATGATGTATCTTCTTGATTGGTATCAGACACTGAGAAAATCTCACAGGGCTTGAGCCTGAAAGATGATGGACACCTGGAGAGGTGCTGAGTGCCCGTAACTCCTTTGGATGCCAGCACCTTGCAGAATTGGCCAGTAGAAAGAATGAGACATATGTGATGTGAGTTAGGGAATTCATCATTTCAGTTGCATGAAGTAATTTCTAGAGATCCCATTGCTTATCTCCTGGGGTGTTGGACTGTGGGGTGCAGCAAGTATAATGAAGATGAATAGACAAGGTGTATTGATTTCATTAAATGGTTTCATCCAGTACAGTATTACTCAATTCCACATTGAAAAGAATTACTCACATGTTGACTTATATTGCTTTTTATAGTGTACTACTAAAAGTGAAGTTATATATATATATATATATAAAAATAGTATAGGCTTTCGTGGGATCAGCTCTTCAGCTACCGTAAGCTGGGAGAGCTCCACTGGAGTCAGTTACACCAGTTGAAGATCTGGCCCATGGTTTTTGCCTGGAATTATAGAGCAGATCTATATTGTCTAACTAGCTCTAAGTACCTGAAAATACAGGGACCTGCAGGCCATTCACATGTAATATAGGTTTTGAACTACTCATCTCATCTGAACAGTAGTTTAGTTCTGTTGTCTCTGCTAAGTCTAATGGAATTACTGTGTTAGATAGCAGCACTTCTAAGAAGGTGGCCGTTGATATGTTATGCATTCTAAATAGCTGACATGATGATGTTCCTTCTGGTTGTACTGGTACTAGGGGCTGTACTTCTGGGAGCATTGCGCCCTTGGGTACCCCATGTATAGCCTCAAATAAGAGATATTTCTGAGTCCAGTAGGGTGGGTATCTACTGAAAGTATCTCACATTCATTCCATCATTTGCTTTCCATTGTTCTTGATCACTCTTGGAAGGTAGACACTGAAATCCCTTTCCTACCAATTATTTTTTCCTCCATTGCTTGCACAAACAGATTTGTTATTGTCAGGCAGCCCATGAAGTTTAGGCAGCTGCACTGATCTTTTTCTTTTGAGGAAAAGAAAATAGAAGCATTTGTTGTCAAAAGAGAAGCCTACCTACCAATAGCGACAGGGACGTTGCAACCAAATATAAGGAAAAAAGGGAGGACAGTCTTCTCAGGCCTGCCAAGTATGACTGTGTCCTCCTTACTCGAAGCTTTGTTTATATGCATGCCTTGTCCCTCTAACAGATTTTGATGATTGTAAGATGTGGGGTGTGTGTGACCAGCTGTGTGAAGACCGTGTTGGCCATCACCAGTGTCACTGTGTGGAAGGTTATTTCTTGGAGCATCACCGCCACTGTAGAGCCAACACTTCATGTAAGTAAATGGCACCAAGTGCGATTCTTAGTGTAATTTTACTTGTAAAGCAAATATTATCTTGTAATTTTCTGTGTATTGGAAAAAAAAAGTAGTGAAATATGCTTGAGTACAGCAGGCACATGTAAAATGTTCCAGTGGCATGAAAGATTCTGCTGGTTCCAGAGATATTCCCTATCTTTGAAATGCAATATTCAATTAGAAACAGGATTTTCAGACTGGTGGATCATTTTTAGGCTGCTCGCTCCATTTACTTTAATGGCAGCTTTGTCTGAGTGAGGTGAGCAGGATTTGGGTCTTAAATATCTTCCACTGAAATAGATCCACTCACTCTCTCCATGGTTATATATTTTCAAGACAAACTTTCCTTCAAAGCCTTCTTATTGGAGAGTCTCTGCTGCTTTGAAATGCTCTAATGGGATGTGAGAATGAAGAATACATATGGGAAGTGGCAGTAAATAGAAATTCACAGAAGATAGGCTGCGTGGCAGACTCAAAGAATATCCATCTCTCATGTGGGAAAAAGGCCTTTTGAGAGAAGGTGGAGAGAGAGAGAGAACCTTCTTCAGGATGTGGATATACACACTTTTGGTAACATTTTCACACAGAAGTGTTTTTACTGCACATTCCTTAGTTGCCTCCTCCAAAACTCCAAACCAGGCTGTAGACCAGGTTGCCACGCAGTGCTTAAAGGGCCAGATTTTCACAGGTGGCTGCAATGTGTGCAATCTACAAAAACAAAATCACATTTGCATCCACCAGCACGTTGTATATGCTCAATATTGATAAGTGTTAGTTTATACATGTGTATTCTATTTGTAGTTTGCAAACCCATTAGACCCTGTTTGCAGAATAACTGATCTATATGTTGTGCTGGTAGTCACAACTTACCCTCACTTTCAGCTGGTGTTGCATCAATTATTTTCTCCAATGGTCGTGATTTGCTGATTGGAGATGTCCATGGAAGGAGTTTTCGTACTTTGGTGCAATCCCAGAATCGTGGCGTTGCGGTCGGAGTGGACTTTCATTTTTACCTACGTAGAATCTTTTGGACAGACACAGTGCAAGATAAGGTAGAAATTTCAAGAAAAATATGATTTTTTGGAAGTAAAAAGACCCAGGAGCAGAATGTGTTGATAGCTTTTCATTTTTGTGAGCAGATGCAGGCTGTATCTTTGTTTTCTAACAAAAAAGGCCCTTGAGAAGTTTTACATTAATCACCACGTTTTCCAAGCTATACTGTTACATCTGATATATTAAACAAAGCATGCTATTATATGGTGCTATCTTGAGCAACTTTTAATTTCATTAGAAATGGAGTCCAAAAGCCTAATTAAGAGAAATAGTAGACATTCTTTCAAAACTGGACAAATTTTTCTTAGTAATTTTTTGAAACCTGATCATTTAAAATGTAAAACTGCTGTGTTTTCCATGATGATAAAAATCAGATTTCTCCCATATACTCCAAATGGAATTGTAATTGAGCTTTGAGTAACAAATATTGACAATATTTTGTGTAATGAGCCAATATTTTGTTACACTACTTTTTTTGAAAAGAGGAAATATGTTCAGTTTAAATCAGAGTAAAACAGTAATTTTCAGAAGTCGGTTTGGGGTACATGTTAAAGCAGGTAGGCTCATATTTTTACCATTGTCTCTTTTCTCCTCCCCCAACCTCATTGAAAAGAATAAAAGTTGCAGTTCAGTTGCATAAATCTAAAACTTTTATAAGAACTTTGTAGGGCTAGTAAACCAAAACTGGAAATAAGCTGATAACTCTGTGTCTGAAAGAATCTGTATATTTCTGAGTATAGTACTATGTCACTAATGTTAGATGTCATATTACCAACACACCCCATTTCTCCAAACTCTAGACTACAAAAAAAAAGAGCCTAATTTCAATAATAAAAGTCTTCATAAGACACTTACTTATTGTCCTTGCTGGTTGGGGAATAGGGGACAGGAAGCTCTTCTGGGTTCACCTATGACCCACTCCCTGCTGACCCCAATGTGTAGAGGGATGGCACAGAGCGAGGTTACTGTCACTGAGCTGGGGTTTACCACATGTGTAAATTTGCCAAGCCTTCCACAGCAGAGCTACGCTGCCAAGGGCCCTGCATGGCCGTGGAGAAAGGGCAGGATTTTCCCCAGAGTTGTTAGCTTTGCACAATTCTTGCATTTTCCCCACATAATATTTCCATTTATTATGCTTAAGCCAGTTGCAGCAGCATAGTTTAAGGTTGAGGACAGAGTTTTACCTGTAAAATGTTTTTGCCTGCAATTATATTGTTGTTTTACCTTTTACTGTAAAAGGTACCAACACTTCAGTGAATGGACATTTCCATCAAAAGCTTTTTGTGGCAGAGACTGTCTATTTATCTATGTTTGTGTAACACATAACACAACAGAGCTCCAATCTTGTTTGCAACGTCTATGAGTAACAACAACAATAATAAATAAGGCATTTTCTTACATGTGAAATGCATTGTGATTAATATTTATTATAACAGAAATTACATAAATATTAGAAAAACAAAGATTATTAAACACTCTGTTAACAATTAAGCTAAGGTACAAACTAATTAAGAACATTATGAGTTATGCACCTATGACATTCCTCATCTCATCTAGTTTGCATTTGGCCTAAAATCCACAAGATCCTCAGTCACTGGGTTTAGAACAATGGAGTTTTTTTGTTTTTTACTCCAGGACTTTTGCCATTTTTACTCTGGTGGAAGACATTTTCAATCCGGTAACTTGTCCAGTCTGCAGGAATGACACATGGATCAAACTCTCTGTTTCTGCATTTGGATCCAAAATTTCACAAAAATCCTCCTTATTTCTTTTTGCAAAAGCCTAGGGAGCAGCTTTAAAGGGTTGTAACCATGGGCAGAATTTGGCCCCATATCTATAGGGCCATGTGATTACCTCAGGCATGACAACTACTGTGTGAGTAATATAAGATGACTAATGGAACATCATGGTAGTTAATAGTTTGTTAATAATATGTATTTTATTTTCAGGTGTTTTCTGTTGGTATTGATGGTTCCGATATCCACGAAGTTTTAAATGTTTCAGTTGACACACCTGAAAATCTCGCAGTAGACTGGATTAACAATAAACTGTATGTAGTTGAGACCAGTGTGAACAGAATAGATATGGTAAACTTGGATGGAACTAACCGTGTAACTCTTATTGCTGAAAATCTGGGAAATCCTAGAGGAATAGCACTCGACCCAACTGTTGGGTAAGTGATACAGGTGAGGTAATGAGAAAAGATGGTTAAAATTCCTGTATTCATATATAAAGGAACAGTAACTAAGAAATAGTCAATAATTGTCTTTTGAAATAAAACATAAAAGGGAGGCCTTGACAATTTGTGTTCTATTGGCTGATCTCTCGTTTCACAAGAGTTATGGGTATTAAACCCAGCACCGCAATTAAATTCCAGTTTAAACATCATGCTCAGTTTGAAAGTTACTGAACCGTCTCCCTTTCACATCCCTGTGTAGTATGGCTCCTACATTTGCCCCTCAGAGGTGTCTGCATTTTATTGTGGGTGAACGTATTTCTGTACATGATGTATTGTACAGTGTCATGTTATTTGTGAGGAAGACTATATAATTAATTGATAAATAATATTACCTATGGAATGGTAATTTACACACAGATATAGACTAAGACCCTAGCTATACCGTGCTATAGAACTGTCTGTAACGGCAGCACCATGGAATGCTTTTACTCTCATTGTTTGGAGCCTGAGTATTATGGCAAGATTTTGGCCTTCAATGTGCACGTGCAGCTACCATTGAAACCAGTGAGAATTGTGATGTGCATCCAGGAGATAGAATTTTTCCTTAAAAGTTTTTGTTGTGGCTGCTAGCCTCTTGCTGCTTGGGATGCAGTAGTGGGTGAACCCTGTACTGCTTTTGTTTGGCCCTGCCCCATATACTTCAGCAGTACGTAAGAGGCATGAACAGTTTTGATCTTCCTCTGGGACAGAGAGATGAGTTTCATGCCCTTTATAATGATGCACTTCAAGGCCCACCTGGTTGATCCTGGCTTTTTCCTGGTGGTTCCTCTGTCCATTGCTGAGCACGTTAGAAGTTCCATAAACCTCTGGGTGAAATCACAGTTCTTGCTGAACTCTATGTGTAGAGAAAACTGTAGGCCGGATCCTCAGTTGGTGTCAACTGGCATATTTCCATTGTGCACCAATTGATACCAATTGATACCATAGCTCCAACTCTAAAAATGTGCTGTTTTAAATGATGAAACAATTTGAAAATTCCACGTAAAATGTAGCTTTTATATAAAATCTCAAGGAAACGTGGGACCTTAATTTTTTTTTCTTTTATAGTTATTTATTTTTCTCAGACTGGGATAATCTTTCTGGAGATCCTAAAGTGGAAAGGGCCTTCATGGATGGCACAAACCGGCAAGATTTGATAAAAACAAAATTAGGTTGGCCTGCTGGAATAACTCTGGATATTGTATCAAAGAGACTTTATTGGGTGGACAGCCGCTTTGATTACATTGAGACTGTAACTTATGATGGGCTTCAAAGGTAGAAGAGAATTTTGTTTCTTATATTTTACGGGCCAGTTGTACTATATCTGGTTCAAGATCTGTCTATCCAAATGAGATTCACAACATCTAAACTACAACACAACTTGAATGTGATGTAGGACACCTTAATTTATGAGATGTGTCACTCGTTAAATGTTAAATTCCTCCACTGTACCTCATGTTTTATGCCTATGTCCTGTTTTCCCCTTGATTATATTTTTGCACTTCCTTCTTCATTCACATTGTTTTTTATTGCCCACTCCCATGGTACATGTCTTTTGATGGCATGCGTTTTTATTTCTTTGAACACTTTACATTTTCTTTCTATGTCTTTTCCTTGTGCTAGTTTGTTACATTCATTGTAAACTCGAGCTTCCTAAACCCCACACACCACAATGGAAATAAAATGTTCTGATTTCTTCTCTTTTTGATTGCACTTCAAACCTAATCACAAATCTGCACTAACAGCTATTAAAAAGCCATCATTTACCACACAGTGATGTCTGAGACACTGTCACTCCTGATATAAATAGGGAGTAACCACAGTATCTCAGCTACCACAGAAGTAATTGTTGACTTTTAATGGTGACCACTGAATTTATTGTCTATTATTTATTATTTAGAAGCTCCCTCACCTCTACATTGCTAATTATGGCCTCTGTGTTTCTCAGACATGAGACAAAATTTTTTCCCTTTCTAGTTCCCATTAACATCTTGTCCAAGAAAACAGTTGTCTGTCAAGTCAACAATTTTATTACTCAGTTTATTGCTTCATTTGCAAGAGAGTGTTTCTTCATATAAAAGCAATGCTGGTATCTTTGTTTTTCTCCTTATATCTGTTCTTTTCAAGGCCATTTTCATGGTTTAGTAAGGCAGGAATGCAAGTGGTTAGAACAATCTCTATTTTTCTAAGATAAAAACTTATCACTTATTGCAACATTGAGTATCTTACATTAATGTACAAATTATGCATTTTTGAAGTGAGTCAATGGTATAGTTTGAAAGTGCTCTTAAAATAGAATTTAATGTCCTCCTGAGTAACACACCAGAAAACCACAGCACATGTCTCCTCATAACTGGAGGCCCCTGGAGGTATAGAATTTGACCTATATAAAGGAAAGGAACCTTCAGTCATAAATTCAGGTTAATGTTAATATATTGAATAGTAAAGTGTTGTTTAGTGAAGTAAACACTTTGCATTATCCCTATAATTGATCTAGCATACATTATTGCAGCGTTTGTGTGGAATGCATATATTTTATTATGAATTTGGGTCTTTTCATGTGTCCACATTTAACTAGTGCAGGCCTCTCTTATTTGGCCTTCCGTAGCCTTCTCCAAATTTTCTTCTTGACTTGTTATTTTCTTCAGTATGTCCTGGCATTTTATCTTTTCACCATCCCAGGCCTCTTCTGTCTCCTTCCCAAGTGTCCCATACTTGTCTGATCTCCTCTCTGTGGAGACTGGCCACTTCCTGCTTCTCTCATTTCCTTAGTAATTTTGAGTTGCTTTCTGCATTATTCACTCTCTGCCTACCTTGCATTTCTTCTGAGACACTACTCTGCATATATTGTATCAGCTTCACTTCTTTGACCACTGTTGGTCTCTCCCATATACATGTTGGAAGCTTATTTGTATATAAAAGCAGAAGCTAATTAATGATTTAGTAAAGTTCTATTTTTTGTTGTTGTTTTTGATCAAAATGAAGTGAAATTATCTTTCTGACAATATTTTACATGTAACCTTAAAAATGTCTTTGTAACAGGAGAACAATAGCTCATGGAGGGTCACTGATTCCTCATCCCTATGGAATAAGCCTTTTTGAACATAATGTTTATTTTACTGATTGGACAAGGATGGCAGTGATAAAGGCTAATAAATTTGCAGACTCTAACCCTCATGTTATCTACCAGTCTTCACTGAGGCCATATGGAGTGACAGTTTACCATGCTCTCAGGCAGCCATATGGTAAGCCAACTGATTGTCAAGAGAAGTTTTGGAATTGTCCTCTCTAGAGTTGCTAAAAGAAACACTAGACAGTTATATTAATTGTAAAGAAGCTGATTATACACAATTTAAAAGCAACGTCTGAGTAATATATTGATATTTGGAAGAAACAAACTTGTGTTTATGAGCAATTTTCACTTTTATGGCTTGATCCAGCTGCCATTAAAGTAAATGGAAGTATATATCCATTGACTTTAATGGCAGTTGGATCAGGCCCTCAGTGACAAGTGAATACTGTATGTGAGACATAACTATGTACTGAGTGTAGGGCTATATATATACTACCAGTTACGTCGGTACAAGTTACGTCACTCAAGGGTGTGAATAAGTCACTCCCAAGTGACGTAAGTTACACCGATCTAAGCGCCAGTGTGGACAGCGCTATGTCGGCGTCAGAGCTTCTATGCTCTCGTTGTGGGTGGATTAATTAAGTTGATAGAGCTGGTGCAGCTGCGCCTCTGCAAGCTCTCTAGTGTAGCCATAGACTGAATACAGAAAGTTATAGACCAAAGCGTTTACCTTAAAAGCTATGGCCCCCACACTGCAATGTGCTGAATACCGTTCGGGAGGTGCCGAGCAATCTGAATGCCAGTTAACTTTAATGATAGTTGATGATCAGCACCTCCTGGGAATTACTCAGCATCTTGCAGGGCCCCCCGTGTCATATTTTCCTGTGGGAGTTTTGCCCTCATTAGGCAATATACCTCCAAATGATTTGCCATAAATACTGAAAAAATGTCTGAAAATATAAAAATTGATGATGTATGGAAAGTTTATAGCATGAAGATTTAATTCCGTCCATATTATTTTCCAGTAAGAAATCCTTGTGGAAGTAATAATGGGGGCTGCGAACAAATCTGTGTTCTCAGTCACAAAACAGATAACGATGGGCTGGGCTACCGCTGCAAATGCACCCTGGGCTTTGATCTACGCGTGGATGGGCGACATTGCATTGGTAAGGAAGTGTATTAGTGGCTGTTGCAAGTAGTACTGCCATGGATAAAATTATATCTGTAAATGGCCAGTGCACGAATGACTTCAAAACATATGAATTCCATAGCTACGTACCAGCTACAAAAAAATAATAGCGGAGAGAGATACAATAATTGAGACGAAGAAAGTAGATCCAAAAGAACAGAGCCCCAGGAACTGAACCCTGTGGGAGTTTATAAGGGAGGGGACTGGGCAGACAGGAGGAGTTCCCATAGAAAAATGATAAGGGAGCATTGAGGGGATTCTATTCCAGTTTTGTCTAGAAAATTGTGTAAACAGGTATTCAGAGTATCCTTTCCCCGTTTTTCATTACCAATGTGGGGTTAGATATGCTAAGTTGTTCAGCACTTTTTCCCATGACCTCTGTTGACAGCTGTAAAATTTAAATGTAACAACTTCCACAGTTGCTCCTGTCTTTTCATGGTGATTTAGGAGCATGGTGGCTTAGGACTTGTGTTGCTACAAGTGTCAGAAAAGAGCTGATGTGGTCAGCTCAGATATGATCTGGTGGCAGAGGTGGCCCCATACAGCCTATCAGTTCTCTTTGCACAAATGGTCACCATGGAAATTAATGAGAGAGCCACGATGCCTGCTTTCCTTGGGGTAATGTTTTCTGTAAAGAGATGTAGGAACCTTAGCAACTATGCAAGTGGAAGAAGTGGAAGACCCTGCTAGGTCACCATATGTTCTTTCAGAGAGTCTATTTTTCTTCTTTCTTCCATTTTACTTTTACAGCCTCTATTTGCTTAAATTCCATTTCTGCTCTTTCCTTTTCCCTCTTCTTGAAACTCTATTTTTTTCTCATTCTCTTCTTCTCTCTCGTCTTCTTCCATCTCTCTCTTTTTCCTCCCAGTCCTTCTGTTTTATGTGTTTAAATGTTATTGCCAAAACAAACATTGCAAAATAAAACTAAAAAGTTCCTTACCTTACATTTAATTAATTTTGAATCATCTGAGCCTGAGGAAGCCCTTTAAGTCACTAAAATCTATATGTGTTCTTTTCTTTTATAGCTGTGCAACAGTTTTTGCTCTTTTCATCACAGTTGGCAGTGCGTGGGATCCCATTCAATCTCTCCACCCAGGAAGATGTGATTATCCCAGTGACTGGGAGCCCTTCATACTTTGTTGGAATTGACTTCTGTGCCCAGGATGACACCATTTTTTTTTCAGATACAACTAGAGATATAATTTATAAACAAAAAACGAATGGGTCAGGTGAGATGCAAACTGTTGCTTTGGTTTCTCTATGTATCTTCATATGAAAAATCTGGGTATTCGCCTTGGCAGGAAATTTTGTAACCTCCTGCAAATTTTAGCCATTTCGCAAATGTACTCAAACCCCAGTCTTACATTCTTTGTACACCCAAACTGCAGTGGGTATGGAATCAGGCCACCCAAAACTGAAGTTTTGCAGTAGCAAAAAACAGTAGTCTATATATGCCCTGCTGGTGTAAATGGTACGTCTTTGTGCCATTGCTGCCTGCTGTGTATCTAAGCTGGATTCACCACTGGCCATATGCAGGTGACCTCTCCATTGCTGCTTTTCCTGTAGGAAAGGGCAGCTTTAAATTACACAGGTTTCATCTCCAGTCCTCCATAGCCAAACCCATCCTTCTACATTAGGACTGTGCTGGTTGTCTGCAGGCCACTGTTGTTTGCACAGGATGTTGTGATTAGCTTGCACCACTGCAACCCAGCTCTGGAAGGACATTATACCGCTGGAGGCCCTCAAGTAGGGTTTTCACTATCTTTTACCAAGGCAGAGGGTGCAGTGATTCTGCTCCATTACATATTAGTATTCATATACTAAGATATGTAAATAATCTTGCATGTTTAGAAAATGCCAGCTAATTGAAACAATGACAGTAAAATATCAAAAACACGAAAAGGAGTATCCTAGAGAAACACAGATGAATATCAATCCCAGATTCAGGCTGAGAAAGTACGATTGCAAATATTTGTACTAATCTTATATGGGGCTACTGTAAATACCACTCTGAAAACATTCAAAAAGATAAGAAGGCAGTAAGGAGCCTTCCAATTCCTTTAAAGGATCTGCAAGGACTGACGCTTGCATTTTGTGTTATTTTCCCCTGTTTAAGGGCACACTACTGCAGTCCACACTCAGGCAAAACTCCCACTTAAGTCATTGTTGGATTCTGTTTTCCCTCATGTCTTTCCATTATAGGTGTATATGCTGGCTAGCATAATGGTGCCTCAGTCCCTGATTGGGAGCGCTAGAGGTGGTACTGAAATGTAAATATTGAATAATAATAATCTTAATGTGATTGTGTTATCCATAAACTGACACCTCTCTCAGTCTTTGGCAAACTTGGCAACTTTGTCCCTAAGACTTATTCCTGCTGTGTTCACTTAGGAGTGAAATATTTGTGCCCCCTCCTCCCACTCTCTCAACTAGTGCCAGTTCATCAATTCTGCTGTATCTTTAAATGGTGAAAATCGGGTGTTCCTTGTTTTTATCTCCTTCTGTGAGACAAGTGAAGACTCTGGCCTGATTGTTTGAGATAGTGCAGTATAGCAAGAAACCACCCTAGTTGTGTGATGATTAATAAGAATCTTATTTGTGGTATTGTTAGGAGTGTTCCTGACTAAGGTACAGATTAAGGACCAGTTTCTGCCCTTCCGTACATATGCACACCTCCCATTGACTTCAGCAAGGGCTACATGTACATATGGGAGAGGAGAACTTGGCCTTATTGGACTTGACTCACTCCTGTATCAAACTGGTGAAAAATCCCCAGAGTGCTCACCACCCGGCTCTGTCAGGGAGCCTGAAGTTGGCCAGCGCTGCCCAAACAGTGGGTAGCTCTGGCTGGGGAGGCAGGAAGCATGGCCAGGGTGCCTAAAGGATGTGCTGATTCAGTGCGTGCCTTAATGACCCCCCTTTGTAGGACTCCTATGAAACCCTGTTTGTAAATTATAGCTGCCCTTTTCTGGCCAAACCTTAATTTTCCCTCTTCCAGGATGAATCCCCTGAGTGTAGCAAACCCTCTCTGGCACAAGGGGTGCAATCCAGCCTGCTATGTCATTGCTCGGTTACTCATAGATAATTAAAATTATCCAAAAGCAGAATCGCTCTGTTCTGTGAACAAAATTGTGCTTTCCTGTGATTGTATCCACATCCAAAGGGTTTAATTTATACTGTATATATTGCAAATTCTAGGCAGAGAAATTCTGACAGCCAATAGGGTGGAAGGCATTGAAGATTTGGCCTTTGATTGGATCTCAAAGAACCTGTACTGGACAGATCCTCGATATAGGAGCATTAGTGTTATGAGGTTGACTGATAAATCTAGACGAACTATTGTCCAGAATTTAAATAACCCTCGATCAATAGTGGTTCATCCTGTTATTGGGTAAGTCTGATTTTGTTTTTATTTTAAAAGCTGCAAACAATTGTATGTTTTAGCAGCACCAGCACAGATTAAATTTACCTTTCAGAATTTCTGGTTTTGGACCTCAGCTACTTTCCAAAATATTCTCTCTCTCTCTCCAGTTTCCTTCTTCTGCATTTTTCTTATCCTGGCCCAGATTACAACATCCCAAGCAAAGTACAAGATGATACACATTGAGCATGAAAGGAATATTCAACAAAATTATCTTTAAAGGCACAGATTTTTTTCTTTTGCTTTTGTCTATTGATATAAAGCCAAGAGAAGCTTGTTAGTTTTATATCATTTGGATTAGAAAATTGCTCTCCGCCTCCACAGTCTAGAGATAAAGTTATATATGTATTATTTTTAACACAGGATAGTTCTGAGAATTATAATTTGGATCCTTTTATGACCTTCATTTTCTGTATTTGAATAATTCTATTTGAAACTTGTAAGATGCTGCTGTTTGTCTTTGACATATACTCTAAGCAATAAGATTCTGCTTTGTGTAATACAATGAAAAGAAGAGGCTGTGTTTCTTTTGATGGAAATGTCTAACCTTAATTGCAACTCTCCATGCAACTGCAGCTATGCTAAAGTGTCACTTTCACTACATACTTTAGGTTCCTATCCCTGGTGTAGAGTATCTTAATGATTCTTTGAATATTTTCCTTAATTGCATCTTCATTTTTAATAACCCATTCCCCTAGGGGTTGAGTTATCCTAAAAGTGTAGTGATGAGCTGATAAGGAACATTCTTAATCTCTAACCCTTGGAATGTGAAGCTTTGTTCACTGTTAGAGTTGTGTTAAGCAGCTAAGCTCAACTCTATGACTGGAGGTGCGTTGACAGGTCAGGACAAAACCATGGACATATTAATGCCTATCTGGAATTTGTCATCTTTTGGTTTGATTTTTCTTTTTGAATTAAATTGCACTATACATTAAAATCTTGACAAAGATGTGGCTACCTCATGCCTAAAGGAACAAATCATCTGAAAAGTAGAGGGTACTGGGCATAAAATAGATATTTTGCTTCTAGTGTCACTAACTGTATAAGGGTGGACCAAGGAGGTGATATATGTACTATTGAAAACCAGTAACTACACAGATCCTTGAAGCTCCTGCTCTTACCCAGCATGTTTTATTCATTAACCTGTTAAATCTGGCACCTGGAGGTCACTTGCTGTGCTTGCTTTTTGCTCATTTAATTAAACATTTAGCATTACAGAACACTGCCCCCTCCCAATCTAAAGAAATACTCGGCTTTTGTTAGGTTTATAAATCTTGGACACTACCCTTACTCAACACACACACTCTTTTTAAAGTATTTAGGAGGATGCCGCTCTCTCTTTATATATTATCTTTTTGGTTTAGTAAACTCTCTCTCTCTCCTTGCTCCTTTCTTCCTCCTGCTGTTCTGTATTATCTTACTCAGGTGTTGTCATAACCTTCATCTCATCTTCATCTTCTTCAGCACAGCCAGTTGGTCCTTCACAATTACTTTAAGATGAGAGGAGTTCCTTGTGATCTTACAGACTCCAGTTTCTGCTGCAACCATTGACTCCTGTTGCTTGTACTGATTTGGCACTGAGTGGAGTGAACAACTTTGCTCTTTCTGCTGTCTAACTAACATCTCTATTTCTGCTGTATGTGCTCTATTGCTTTATGAGGTTTATCTGCGTGATCTTTTAATTTGACTTTTGCCCTAATTCTGCTCTCTGTTGAAATGTGCCTTTTCCCTGCAACATGTTTGTTTTGTATTTGATTCATTGGTTCCTTATTGTTCGAGCTCCACCACTTGTTTTGTAATGATTTTCAGAATCACCAAATTAGCCGCTTTTAAGAGAGTCTTGTTACCTGCCAACACAATCAATTAGTAACTTATCTGTGCAAATATGTATAAAGTCTCTTGTGGTGTTTGAACTCAGCTTTAATTGTCTACCAAGTGAATTGAGTCACTTATCTTCTGCAAGAAATCATATTTTGGAGTACCTCTTTACTTCTTCAAGGGATGCAGATTTAGGAGTGACGTGAATATATAACAATATAATAAATGAATCAGCAACGTGCTTCAGAGCTGTTGTTCTCATCTGTTTTATTATGACATGTAGTCATCTGAGTTGTTTACTTGATTTGATGTTTCACCTTTAAGTCATATGCATGGAATCTTATTCCGCACCTCCCAGTTCATGTTGGTATTCTGAGTTTCTTTTATAAAATATTATTTCCCAGTGCTGCAGTCACTGATCTGTTACTAAAAAAATATAAGTGGAAGCATTTGGTTCCCCAAATGATAACAGCGGTTTCTCTCTCCATGTGCATAGCATGGTTCAGTGTCCATTAGTGCTCTGTTCACATATGCTATTATGCAGCCTAACTGCATCAAGATTGCATTGGTCCCTCATGAGTTTGCATCTACTATCTCCAGTTTCAAGTGTATTCATGTGCATCAAACTATGGAAAGAGGAAGGGTTTGTGGAAACTGTTTAGAGCAGTGCAAAGACTTTCTCCCCTCTCTTAGTGTATGCAAGGGACTCTGCTCGCTCTGGGATGTACAATTTACACCTCCCTGGATCAGATGTAATGAATCTGGATCCTTTCCCCTGCTTACTTTTAGTGAATCTGGGTCCTTTTCCCCGCTTAGTTTTAGCAGAATACCTGGATGAGTATTATGAAATATATTGCTGCTGGATGGAGCCATTTCTTCCAACCAAGAGAAAATCTGATTTTTTAAAATGATTGTGATGGTATGACACAAAAAAGAGAGTGCATGTTTTTTTGAATTGTGCATTTGTTGTGTTAACCAAACTATTTTCAGTGGACAAAAACAGCTATTTCTTCATGGCTATGAATATTTCCCAGGCATTTTCTTCTTTTTTCCCCCCAGTTATATATTCTGGACAGATTGGTTCCGCCCTGCTAAAATCATGAGAGCCTGGTGTGATGGATCCCATGCCTTGCCAATTGTGAACACAACACTTGGCTGGCCCAATGGCCTAGCCATTGATTGGGGGTAAGAAAAAGATCGATGAGAAGCCACGGAGGCCTTTTGAGCAAATATGTGTTTCTTTCTTTAAACAGTTAGGGGGCATTGTAACAGACACCTTTGCAACTATCTTTTATTGTTTACAAGAAGCAAAAGTATGGAACACTATATTTCAAACTGTGTGTTGCAGTGCTTTTATTTCCTCCGGGAGCTGTATTTTTTCAAAATGTCAAAATATATGTGAAATTTGAGATTTTCTCCGAAAAAAATTCTGAAATAACTTCATGAAAAATCTAGTCTAGGACTGTTCACTTATTGAGAAACTTATTTCTGTTTGTAAACATGTAATTCTTTGAGATAAAACCTTTTTATTGTTTTTAGTGCTTTAAGGCTGTATTGGGTGGATGCCTTTTTTGATAAAATTGAGCACAGTACCTTTGATGGGTTAGACAGAAGGACTCTTGAACGCATTAATCAGATGTCTCATCCATTTGGCCTGACTATCTTTGGAGGTGAGTCTGGCATTGAAAAATATTAGATGTATTACAATCCATAACAGTTTACCATGAAATGAGCTGAGACTGTACACGATGAAGTATTATGCAATCTTTTGCGATGCAGGTTTTCTACAAAAAGGCAGTGTTGAAAGTTTCTGTAATAAAATATACCTAGTGCTGCTTGTTTACTTTCGAAGGCTGCTTTTCACACATTTGTACTGAAATCATTTGAGAACTTAAATGATTGTTCTTGTAACTAGATATTGTTTTCGGTGCAATATCTTGGGTACGTTACACTACTAGCTACAGCTTCTAGGAGGGTGTGATTGTGTAATCACTAGATCATAGTCCCTGAGAGGTTCAGTGTACCTTCAACCACCACTGACCTCTCAAGAGGTGCTCTGTACTTGCAGGATCGACTCAATTGCATGTAGGGTATGTCCTGATATTTATCTACAATGGCTCACATGATGTTAGTAAGAGTATCAGAACCTGCCCCCTTTTTGTGACATTATATCAAAAAGTTATTTGCAAAATATCTTCAGATGCTGGAAAAGTTTATTGGCAAACAGTTTTTAATGTTGCATTAGAAGTTGAGATGGGACAAAGTCATTACATTCTGATACAGAATCAGATCTGAATTTGAGCTTAGACAAAGTCTGGGAGGGCAGGTTGGATCTGTTTTTGGAGCAGGTATTTCTACAGATTTAGTGGCAAATCAGTTTATGGAATAGCTTCCACAGTGCATTATGCAATCATTTTGTATTTGATGCCATTTTTTGTTTTTCCTGAAGGACTTAGGCATGAGAATTCATTAGATTTACATGACCAGCATTGAGGTTTTATCCAGCATCGTTTGACCTTTTGTATCATATTGTATTATAACTGTTACTAAGTATTAACTGTCTTTTAATACAGGTTATGCATATTTTACTGATTGGAGACTTGGAGGAATAGTTCGAGTGAGGAAATCAGATGGAGGAGAAATGACTATTATTAGGAGGGGCATTAGTAATATTATGCATGTAAAATCTTATGATGCTCATTCTCAAATAGGTAAGCTAGCTTGTTGTACTCACAAAAGAGTCAAAGGATTTGCCCTCTCACCTTTAAAGGTTACCCCATTGGGCTTTCACTGATTATGTAGTTCAGTGTTCTGTGACTGAGTGTGGTTTTGTGTGGGTGTATCTGTTAGTTGTTTAATAACCTCATAAAGATGAAATTATAATTTCATTACATTCTTCCCAATTTATTGTTCATTACAACCCAATATTTCCACTTTCATAAATAAAGGGTATTTTGATTAAACTGCACTATTTGTCTGTGACAAAAACTTGAAGACTGGACTAAACATCTTCTAAGTCATGCTGTACCATTCTTTAAATTATCACCTTTTACATGGTTAAAATTTTGTTTTAGTCTTTTCACTAAGCTGAAATTCTGTGCATGAGGTTATTTGAATAAAGTACTACATGCAGTACACTGGCACTGAAAAATCCACCAATTTAACAAAAAATGCAACAAAATCTAGTGATGAGACTTTCCACTTATTTAGTGCTTTACATTTTCAAGGTGCTATACAAATATTGTGTCAAATCCCATTATCCTTACTCAGGAAGAAGTTCCAGTTTGCAGCATATGTGTGTATCTGTTTCCAGACACTTGCCAGAATTGGAGCCAAAATAAGTAGCATGTTGTTAGATTTGTTTCCTACTAGGAGAAATGTGTTATTAAACACTTGCTGTACTATGGGCCTGTTTCTGATCTCATTTATACCATTCTAACCCTGTTGACTTTGCACTAGTGTGAGAGCAGAATTAGGCCCTAAATATTTTTTTAAAACTTTACCCAGATCATTTAGTTTTACATCATTAATCTTCCACAGTTTATGCTATGTTTTATGATAAACAATGTATTTTAACAGTTTCCAGACTATTACAAATTGAACATATATTAATCTCTCAGGGCATTTTCTTTTTAGGATCTAACTATTGTAATAGAGGAACAAATCCCAATGGAGACTGCAGCCACTTCTGCTTCCCAGTACCTAATTTTCAGAGGGTTTGTGGCTGTCCATATGGTATGAAGCTGGGTCCTAATCAGCTGACATGTATTGAAGATCCGTCAAATGAGCCACCCACTTTGCAGTGTGGTTCCTATTCATTTTCCTGTGGCAATGGAAGATGTGTACCTAGGTACTACCGGTGTGATGGTGTTGATGATTGTCATGATAACAGTGATGAACAAAACTGTGGATCACTAAGTAAGTTGTCCTTGTAATTTACAGTTAGTGGTACTTGCACTGCAGACACTTTTGGTGGCTCAGTCTGCATTGATTTTTTGTGTTTATTTGAGGACAAATCTTAGAAGTCTTCCTAATCCATGTGACTAGTCCCATTGGAGTTACATGAATAAGGGATATATAATTGGGCCCCTGAAGCTTAGACAGTACATCTTTTGACTGAAAATGGGGCTTGCAGTGTCACAAGCATGGCTTTTCCTAGGAGATTTCCATTAGTAAACTTTAAGGGATTAGTTAGGTTGCAGGGTACTACAAGAATAGCTGCTTGTAGTATTTTGATATTTCTGCTCCCAGATGAAGTTAGTAAATGCAGAGGCATGTGGATGTTTGAACAAAATTGTGTCAGGGTTTGGGTTCTGGGTAAAGGTTTGGAAAGGTTTTTATTTTATCTCCCTGAGTTCTCCCAAGCCTGTTGCCTGTATGTCTTTTCTTCCATTCCACAGTAAAGTGAATGGAGAGTGCACTTTCAGCCTTTACTGTTTATTTCCTGGCTTTGCTGTAAATTGGCTCAAACATACAAAGTGTTTAAATTTGTTGATCAAAAATAAACTGGGAGAGTAGTAGGAGAATTGCTGTTGATAATATAATACAGACAAGATATCGGATGAATACCACATATTTATTTGGTGCTTGGCATCTTCAAGGTGATTTATAATTAAGGGTCTCATTGACTTTACTGGAAGTTGCATGTATGTAACTGAGAGTAGAATTTGGATCTGTACTGTTACTGTAGAAAAACTAAGATATCATTTTGGTGAGAATGAAGGAGCAAGTGACCTTTCTTCTTTTTTTGATTGTTTTGAAATATTTTTTAAAACCTTTACCTTTTACCTTATCGTTAATAATTACAATTTCAAAAATTGTTCTAAGAATGTATTTCTTAAAATTACTGATGGTTTCTTGCCATAAATAATGGTTTTGATACAAGTTTTAGAAATTGCATAATTACATTTACAGTCCTTGAATGTGTTTTCAAGGAAGGCAAGTTTTGGAGCTATTGCTGTACAAATGTTTTCATATTTTGTTTCTTGTTTAGATAATTCTTGTGCTTCATCAGCCTTTACCTGTGGCAATGGGCAGTGCATTCCAGGTCGCTGGCGTTGTGACAAACATAATGACTGTCTTGATGGCAGTGATGAACAACATTGTCCTACACAGGGTCCCACTTCATGCCCTGTAACCTTGTTCACCTGTGACAATAGCAGGTGTATTCCCAGGATCTGGCTATGTGATACAGATAATGATTGCGGTGATGGGTCAGATGAAAAAAATTGCAGTAAGTGTCAGAATTATCTGGTTTGCAGTACAGTGTGTATAGATTACATATGACTACATAAATATATGTACATATGTATATGAGAGGGATAAATATGTTCAGAAGGAAAGAAAGAACCAATATGGAACTTGGAATAATACTATTCTGCCTTATGAGACTTGGAAAAGCCAACATACATTCAAATATTAAGACCACATGGAAATACAAAGCAGTCAATATTAAAAATGATGTGATTGTGACAACTATATTGCTCTGAATTGTGGTATCTGCAAAACCCCATTGCATTGCAGTTTACAAAAGCAAAGAAACTAAGGCGCAGTGTTATAAACTCTTACTTACATGAATGGTGCCATCGACTAGTCTATTGATAGGAAGGCCCCATCAGGTAATATAGGGTGAATGTTTTCACCCAGCAATAGCTCACAGAATTTTTGCAATGGAGTAAAGCGTAAGCTCCCTGGTCACCCTTCTGCAAGTCTCCTTCTCACAGGTTGGAGTCTTGGTTATAAAGAGGATGGTGATCAATTGTTCTTCATGTCTACTAAGGGTAGGACAAGAAGTAAACATCTTAATCTGCAGCAAGGGAGATTTAGGTTAGATATTAGGAAAAACTTTAAGGATAGTTAGGCACTGAACAGATTACTTAGGGGGTTGTGAATCCCCTTCATTGGAGGTTTTAAGAACAGGTCAGACAAACACCTGTCAGGGGTGGTCTAGATATACGTAGTCCTGCCTCAGTGGGGGGGGGGGGGGGGGGGGGGGAAAGGGGCTGGACCCGATGACCTTTTGAAGTCCCTTCTAGCCCTACATTTCTATGATTCTATGGTCCTATTTTGCATGACTTCCAACCTGCAGCTAAATAAATCATTACCTTGTACTAATGTCTATGGTAGAATGTTTTTTAATTTATCTTGCTGTTAGTTGTTAGACAGCATGCATAGCTAAGAGAGTTGATTCTGATGTCTTCATGTTCTGACCATTTTGCTGGTTCAAGGTAGAAAGGAAAGAATGCAAATATCTTTATTTTTCTCTTAATAGATTTTACAGGGACATGTGAACCTGGTCAATTTCAGTGTCCTGACCATCGCTGCATTGACCCATTTTATGTTTGTGATGGGGACAAGGATTGTGTAGATGGAGCAGATGAGCGTGATTGCAGTAAGTATAATTTCCCTCGTAAACATGGTTATTTATGAATTTGTTTGTTGCACATGCTGGTTTCTTTGGACTCTCTCCATGCCATGTAAGCACAGGCTCCTAGTGGGTTTGGCATGGAGCTGCTCAGAGACGCAAAATTCCTCCTAAAATTCCCCAATGTGTATGAGTAGTATGTCCATTGCTGTGTGAGTTGGTGCAGAGTGCCAGCAACCTGCTTTCTCTCTGCCACTGGGGGGAATCTGGTTTCCCAGGGGGTGCAAAGGCTTTATAGTTTCTGTGCTCCAGGGAGCAAGAGACTGCAATAAAGCCTGGATTTCTTGCATCTGCCTATCTTTTGTACCTACAGACAAGATAGGGACAATCTAGCCCTTTATAAGGTAATAGCTAATGCGATGCTGTATTTATTCATTTGCAGTATACAACTGTAGTGCCTCAGAGTTTAAATGTGCAAGTGGAGACCAATGCATCAATACTTATTACCAGTGTGATGGTGTTTTTGACTGCAATGATCATTCAGATGAGACTGGTTGTCGTAAGTACACTATGATGCATAGACATTAAAATAAAGGCTCTGGTTATTAAAGTTTATAAAAACTGTATCTCACCCACTATTATAACCTCAAAACTACTTTCAAAATACTTAGTCTAAAAATATTTCTCCCAGGCAGAAACTCTGCATACAGTAGGTTCCAGACAAGAGCAAATTTTCTGGCGTAGGCTAGCGTCTTCATTCTTTGTGGATCCAAACCTCGAATGGGGGTTTTGGCAGACTTGCTCCCAGCATTGTTCTTTTTAAGATTTAGAAAGAAAATGTTAAAATATTTAGAATTATGATACTTTTTTGAAATCTTATAACCCACAAGAGTTAGACCGTAACTGAAGCTTAAACACTTTGTAATTTGAGCTAGTTCCTTTGAGTAATTTTGTACATTAAAATTAATCAAGATTTTGAGGTATAGCGAGCAGATAATTGCTGTTTCAAAGACTTGTAGCAATTTGTGTGAGTACATGCGTGTGTGTGCATATTAATGTGTCATACTCAACACGGTGTGAAACATGAATGAAGCTACCTGGTTTTTGCATTAAAAAAGTAGCAAAAGTATTTAGGAGAGTCTAAAACTTCCTGTCTGTAGCCAGACTTAGACCTGTGGCAAGGGGGTACAATTCTATTGACTTCTCAAGAATTGTACCCACTTATACCAGAGTTGAATTAGACCCCTTGTATTTGCATCTTCATTTGAGCATGTAAATACTTTCCTTAACACCAAATATCACTCTTCTAGCTACAAGACCACCAGGGATGTGCCACCAGAATGAGTTCCAGTGTCAGTCTGATGGCAATTGCATTCCTGCTAACTGGGAATGTGATGGCCATCCTGACTGTGCAGATGGCTCGGATGAACATCAAAGATGTCCTGCCAGGACCTGTCCTCCATCTCTTTTCCGCTGTGAGAATGGAAACTGCATCTATCGAGCGTGGATCTGTGATGGTGACAATGACTGCAGGGATATGAGTGATGAGAGAGATTGTCCCACTCAGCCTTTCCGGTGCCCCAGCTGGCAGTGGCAATGTCCAGGTCACAGCATTTGTGTGAATCTGAGCAAAGTATGTGATAACATCGCAGATTGTCCTAATGGAGCTGATGAATCCCCACTCTGCAGTAAGTTGCTGTTTAGCATGTACAATAGTCTAGAAACTTTTGTGCTGTTTCAAAAAGTTATGCAACACAATGAGCATCATCACTGCTTCTTTGTTGTATATGCGGCATAGAAACATTTCTAGCAGAAAATGCAAGATTCATTGTGAACTCAGAAATGTGTTGGGATTCAATATGAAGTTTGGTTAAGTGTGAATCTCAGACAGGTGAACTGCACCTTGCAGTAGAAAGGCAATTCCAGTGAATTCACTCCACGTGATTGGGAGCCCAATCTTGCATTCTTTATTCAGTGGACTTCCATTGACTTCAGTAGAGAGTTTGTTTTATCGAGGAGTAAAATATTAGACCCTATTTGCTTATGCCCGACATTTTAAAAATGGAACTTGATCAAATATACTGTCATTTAAAATTAAATTGGATTCAATCTTCACTATTTTCTTAGATATTTCTAACCTTGTTTTTTTCTGATTTTAATCTAAAACCCATGAGTGAGCAGAATTTGTGTTATGTTGATTGTGACTGTTGATTTTTCACTTAAGTGTAACTTCTTTCTTTCTTTCCTTGCTTCCTTCCTCTCTTTAATCAATGCACGCTCTCAGATGAACCCCAGCCAGGTATGATTACGAAACATATTAAATTATTGTGTATTAATAATATTTCAGTTTCCCATTTGCACTGTAAATGATTTATGTACTTCCAGCTAACTCTGTTTTTAAGCATTGTAGAACTTTAACAAAGCACTCTTATGTTTTGAATTCCTTTTACATGATAGTGACAAATATTATTAACATACTTTCCTTTTTATGAATTATACATACTATACTTTAGTGTGATGAATAAAGATCCTGGCCACATTCTCAATAATTGGCAGTTGCATGGGTATATTGGAAAGCAGAATGTGGCTCATAGTGCAAATGCACAGGATTGACGCAAGCATAGAAACTTTGAAAAAAATATGCTTGTTTTCCCTCACCCCTGTTTCAGATCAGGAGAGTTGCTCTGACAATAATGCTGGCTGTACTCACGAATGCATTCAAGGGCCATTTGGAGCTCAGTGTACATGTCCAGTCGGATACTATCTTGCTAATGACTCCAAGACCTGTGAAGATATTAATGAATGTGAACCTCCAGGCTTTTGCAGTCAGCGTTGTTACAATGAAAGAGGGTCTTCGAGGTGTTACTGTGATGAAGGATACATTTTAGAAGCCAATGGAAGGACTTGTAAAGCTGCAGGTGAGGAATACTGATATAAAATCCAAAACAGTGAGTAGGGGTTTTAGATACAGTCCACAGCATCATGTACACAGACATTTTGATAATGCTACAAACCCCCTGTTTTACAAGAGGTTATAAAAATAGTCATTTTAAGTAATTCCTGGCATATAACCCTGGATATTAAAACTGTTAGCTGTGAGGCTAGCTAGTAATTATCATCCTTTCCAATATGCTTGAAATGGCTTGTTCTAGAATTCTAACGTTGGGATTGTGAAAGTATGTTTTGGAGGAAGGTGTTGAGTGGGTGTGTAGATGCTCAGCACCTCTCAGGTTTTGGCCTATTGAGTAAAATTTGCCTCTGGGCAGATTGCAAGGTCTATGAACTACTTGAGTCCCAGCCTTACATAAGACTTAAATATTGCTTTGGACTGGCCTTCTGTAGAGCAGCGAATGTCACCCACTGGTCGTCATTCTCCATTGTCTTGTATTTTTTTCATGGCACTCCAGAAGTACAAAGGAGCCACAAACCCAGTGGATCTTGTCACAAGGGTATTCCCCTGTAGTAGGGGGAATCCCCAGATGCTGGAGCAGCTCTGCACCACACTCCTTGCAGACTGTGTGGTTAGAGAAAAGGAGCATGGCAGTGTCTCTTAGGCAATTACTGCCTGCTGGAGTGATGGGTCCTTGACATCATGGGCAGCTGTATGTTAGTCAGAATGGCCCTGAAGATGCCCTGACTTATGCTGGGGCCAGCCCGTCCTAGGATGGCCCTAGGAAAGTGGCTACTTTAAGGCTACCTTTGACCCTCCACCTTCATTCTTGTACCAAACATAGCTTGGCTGAAACAAATAACTAGGAGCATTGGGTGGTACTCCTCAACACACACTGTAGACAAAATATACATAGTGTATTCAATATGTACATTATAGGTGGTGCAGGTAACATTGTTTATAGTGCGGGTTGACCAACAGCTCCCATTTTCAGTTGCTTATAATGTTTGCCAAATTTTTATCTGTTCTGGCTGAAATATTCCTTACGAGGTGTCTACCTCAGGCTGATTTTTTTTTTAAAAGTTTCAACAAAAATGGTTTAGATGCTTTCAAGAACAAAATTAGGGAAAAGTTCATTATTTTGCCCATATTAAAAAATGTATACAACTTGTTTTATTAAGAAACTGTAGCACCTCCATACTTTGGCATGAGACAAACCCACTCAAATTTGGCCAAGTTATAAAATCTTAGTGGTTCATTTTCCTCCCTTAGAAAAACATTCTGAATGGTTTATGGGGTTACTATTGCATAGTTTATTTGTTTGCATTCGTTTCTTTTCTTTTCCAGAGTCTGGGAATCTTCTCTTATTAGTGGCAAGCCGTAACCAAATTGTTGTAGACAACATCACCTCTCAGGCACACAGCATTTATTCTTTGGTTCGAGATGGGAGGAATATAGTAGCTATTGATTTTGATTCAGTCACCGATCGCATCTATTGGTCTGACACCACACAAGATAAGATTTGGAGTGCTTATCAAAATGGCACAGACCGAAAAATAGTAAGTCTGTTGGGGAATGTAGTCTTTTATTTCTTTACATTATAAAGGAAGAGAGAATATACTATATCTTCCGTTAACAAAGATGGAAGATGCAGTGTTGTCATAGCCATGTTGGTCCCAGATTTATAGAGACACCAAGTGGGTGAGGTAATATCTTTTATTCAACCAATTTCTGTTGGTGAGATAGACAAGTTTTTGAGCTACACAGAGCTCTTCTTCAGGTCTGGGAAAGGTACTCAGGGCATGTCTGCACTTAAAACTCTGCATCGGCACAGCTGCAGTGCTTAAGGGCTTGTCTATATTGGCACTTTACAGCACTACAACTTTCTCGCTCAGGGGTGTGAGCCCTCCCCCCCTCCCCCCGAGCGCTGCAAGTTTCAGCACTGTAAAGTGCCAGTGTAGACAGTGTACACTCCCAGTGCTGGGAGCTATTCCCCTCTTGGAGGTGGGGTTTTTTATAGCTATGCCGTGACTATTCCCCTCACGGAGGTGGTTTTTTTAAAGCTATGCCGTGACTACACAAGCCACGTTAAAGCGCTGCTCCGGCAGCGCTTTAACGTAGCAAGTGAAGACGTGCCCCAAGTGAAGACACTCCTATGCCGACAGGAGAGCTTCTCCTGTAGACATAGCGCTGTCTACACAGGGGATTAGTCTGGTATAACTACATCGCTCGGGGGATGGATTTTTCACACCCCTGAGTGACAAGTTATACCAGTATAGGTCTGCAGTGTAGACATGGCCTTAGAGTGTCACAGATAAATACAAGCTTGAACACAAAGTATCAGAGGGGTAGCCGTGTTAGTCTGTATCCACAAAAACGGTGGCACCCTAAACACTAACAGATTTATTTGGGCATAAGCTTTCGTGGGTAAAACACCCACTTCTTCAGATGCATGGAGTGACTTGAACAGATAGTTTAGCATAAGTAGTTAGCACATGTTATAAGGGATCATTCAAGGTGAAGTGGTCCCTTAGAATATGTGCTAATTACTTTTGCTAAACTATCAGTTCAATCTTCTATTTAGCTGTGACACTCTGAGTACCTTTCCTAGACCTAAAGAAAAGCTCTGTGTAGCTTGTCTCTCTCACCAACAGAAGTTGGTCCAATAAAAGATATTACTTCACCCACTTTGTCTCTCTAAAAAAGGAAGAGGCAGCTCTCCATGTATTGTAATGAAAAGGAAGGTAACTTAAAGAAAGTGAAGCAGCTCACAATTTGCAGGAAGTAAGTTTAAAATTTGATGGATGACTGACACACACACACACACACACACACACACACACACATACTCTACAGATAGTCTTGCATGTGGCCTTGATGTATTAATGCTACGCTGACATTATTCCAACTCCTTTTTGGTGCCAGAATGTGAACCCTTCTTACTGCTTGTGGGCCATTACTCGCCCAAGTAGTCCCATAGATGTCAATAGGACTACTCAGGTAATTGCTCACCAATGGGAGCATGGGGTTCATAGACTGGGCCTTATTTTATATTAGAAATCTAAAGGGTAAAGGTTACTTGTTTCCTCTTTTCCATAGCTTTCAAAGAGATGTTACCAATAGTGAATTGTAAATTATTTAGTGCCAACTAACTCTTCGATGTTTTTAACAGGTGTTTGACAGTGGTGTCACCGTGACTGAAAGTATAGCGGTAGACTGGGTAGGTCGCAATCTTTACTGGACAGACTTTGTTCTGGAAACAATTGAAGTCTCTAGAATGGATGGGAGCCACAGGACTGTGCTGATTAGTGAAAATATAACAAACCCAAGGGGACTAGTGTTAGATCCCAGAATTAAGTAAGATTTTTTTTGTTTTTGTTTTTAAAAAAATAGTATTTTATAATGATTTCAATGGTAAAATAATTTTAATTTGTACCCAAAGTGCAATATTTAAGATGTAACCAAATTTATCATAATTGTAAGTAACAATTAGGGTTTGGATTATAGGAAATTTCAAGTTTACTAAACTAAGTTTGTTCACAAGTCTCAGTTACAGGAAACACTTAACCTTATTCAAACCATAGTATAATACAGCCATTTGTTAACTGTCTTTCACCTTAATTACTCTTTGTTATCTTGAAACAGATGTTCTAACACTTACTTGTATGAAGTCTTGTTGTAGCTGTGTTGGTCCTAGGATATTGGAGAGACAAGATGGGTGAGATAATACCTTTTATTGGATCAGCTTCTGTGGTCTCTCTCACCAACAGAAGTCGGTCCAATAAAAGATATTGCCTCACCCACCTTGTCTCTCTAATAACACTTATTTCTTAGATAAGAGCTTATGCTTTATAATGTTAATATGTTGTGGTTATTCAGTGTTGCATCCCATAGCTACATACAGTCTAATGTGTCATGCCTGTATAGCACAGAGCTGGTTCTGTTGCACACTGAAAACATTTACACTACGTTAATTTGGGAGAGCTGCCAGTAACTCATTAAGTGCTTTCCCATCTGAAGATGTGACAAAACAGTCAGTGCTGAATATTAATGGCAGATGAATCCCCCCCCCCCACTATTTTTGTACTGCTGCTGACTGTACTGAATAGTGGAAGGTAAATCGACAAACCCCTGCATCCATATACTGTTTTATTAGCAGAGCGTTGGCAGTCTACTGTGCTCTCTAACAGCTTGAGTCTGAACTATGCTGTCAGTCATGCTGAGCTGCTCAGTTACAATAATATGGTAGCTGTATAGGGGACACACCGTGAAAGACACAAATGTCTATTTTATTAAGTTGGCATTAAGCAGTTCAGGAGTTGGAATGTAAACCATTTTATCTAAGAGTTGAAAAATAATCACATGATTATAAAATAACTTTGTTAGAATTACCAATTGTGTATTAAAGCTATAGCAGAAAACATGTTTAAAAATGTTTTATTATAAAAAAGATATGGTTACACTTATTTTGAAAAAGAAGAATCCTAATCCACTAATCCTACATTGATTCCTATACTGTTTATTGCATAATATATTTCATAAGTGTCATTTTATTTTTGTCTAACAAGACTTTCTCTGAGATTTCTCAATATCCAAATAATTTTTCTCGATCAATAACCACACATTACTTTTTACAGTGCTCATGTGATGTTCTGGACAGACTGGGGCCAAAATCCTCGAATTGAAAAAGCTAGCATGGATGGCACAATGCGAACAGTTATTGTTAGTGATAAAATCTACTGGCCCAATGGACTTTCCATTGATTATCCAAATAAACTGCTTTACTTTGCTGATGCCTATCTTGATTATATTGATTTTTGTGATTACAATGGAAACCACAGGCGACAGGTGGTAGCAAGTGACTTGGTAAGACAATAGTAATAAAAAAAACTGTTTCCCATGGTTCTAAGGTTCTTTTATGGCCCCCATTACAAATGGGAACTAAGAGATTAAGGGAGTTGCCAAAGGACATATAGCAGAGCAGGAAATTGAAATTGGGGTCCTAGGTCCAGGCTAGTGACCTAAACACTGAGCCATCCTTCCTCTCATCTGGCTCTGTTTTATAGCATGAAGTCTAAGGGCCCTATCCTCCATTGCTACTAAACCCAGTGCATTGGATGTAGCTGAATATGTTATGTAAAGGTTTGAACAACATAAGGGACATTCTGACTAACAATGAGATTGCCATAATATGCCCTGTGCTGCTGCTCTGTGTTGCTAGTACTCGCTATTGAGAGGAGCAAATGAGGAAAGCATGACCCCACCTATCGTCATGGTGTGAGTTCCAGTGTGGTGGCAGCTAATATCTGCTACTATACTTCAGGTCATCATTGGTACCTCTCATCTCCATCTCCTCATGGTACACATTGTTGCTTGCAGCACAACTTTGCCCACGGTACTGCCTATCCACACGTTATACCACCTATTTAATCACAAGCAGGATTCAGTACTTTATATAGTGCTGAACAGGTTTATCAGCTAATGCTATTAGAAACATAGAAGTATGTGAGGATTAATGTATGGAATTCCTCTTAATGCTAATAAGAATTACATTCACAAATCTTTCCATATTAAAACAGGAATCTATCCCTTTATATGGGATAGAAAATATGAACTAAATCTGTAATATGTAATATGCATATGTAATATATAATATAAGATTTATTTGGAGTGGCCATAACTGAAGTTAACTGTCCGTTTTGTGTTGTTTAGTTTATTAAGTGGATGAAAGGTGTGTGTGTCAGAGTGAGTGTGTAGGGGGACAAACTGGGCCGTGTTCTTTTTTTAGTTACAGTCTTGGTAACAGTTGCCATAATTGTGGATTGTGTAAACATGAGTTCTCTGTACTGCAATATGAAGGATGTGTTAAATCCTCAGCTACTATAAATAGGCATAACTCAATTTAAATCAATGAAGCTACTTGGATTTGCAACAATTGAGGCTCTGGCCCCACTTTTCTATGGCAGGACAAACCAGTTCTTGTTAAATTGGATCACTATAATCCTCAGCCCTCTTCTTTAACCCAAACCTAATTTTCCCCAGATTTGGATAAGCGACCCTCTACAACAGGCCAGTAAGCAACAGGGGATTTCAAAGGTACAAAGGGCACCCATCTCCCATTGACTTTTCCCCTCATACCTTTGAAAATCGACACCCAGCCCTTTATTTAATAAGCCCCTCTGTTCTACCCTTACAACATCTGACAGTTCTATTGATCTTCCAGGCTATGCATCTTATATTTGACAATGACAGACTAATGTTTATTTACCAAGTGCTTTTTCATTTAAAAACTTATTTTTTTCCAGAAAAGCAATTAGCACCTATCCTCAGGTGACAGAAGAGAGGGTAAATCATTTGTATACGTACTGAAGGATGTGTGTGGGGTGACAGCTGTTATGTTTTCCACTGTGCTTAGCTCTGCTGTTATTTCAGTGCAAGCACTGGATAATAATACCAATGGAACTAAATTGGTAAATATTCTTGCCTTTAGGTATTACGGCATCCACATGCTCTGACTCTCTTTGAAGATTTTGTGTATTGGAGTGACCGATACACTAATCGAGTCATTCGGGCCAACAAGTGGCATGGAGGAAACCAAACAATTATGATTTATAACATTCACCAGCCTTTGGGAATTGTTGCAGTCCATCCTGTTAAACAACCTGGTGGTAAGTCAAACAAAGCAACTTTGACAACACAAAAGCAAAATCTGCAATATGCATATACATAAACACTATTGGAATCATTCATGCCAACAAAGGGCATGGCTTAAAATAAGATTACATTGTTAACGGTATTCCCTGGCTGTTGGGGGTTGATCCAGTCCATCCATCCTGGTGATAAATCAAACAAAGTAATCTTGGCAATAAAAACTCAAAACAGGCAAAATGTATAGTAAGGAACTGGTATCTGGAGTTTCTATGTTATTTATTTTTATCTTATTTAGTTAGTTAGTTACTTAGTTTAAGACAACCGACACCTTAGAATGCGTTTTACATTGTAAAACGTCTCTGGCTGGAATAGGTGGGTGAATTGCTTGCACACAATTATGTCACATTTTTAGATGAGATATCTTGCTGGCTTGCTTCTTAAACATTTTTACTTTGATTCATAGTGAAAAGGAAAGGGAAAAGAATGGTACTATTCCATGGTGTGGCCACACCTTTGATACTATGTGCAATTCTGGTCATCCCATTTCAAAAAAGATATATGAAAATTGGAAAAAGTACAGAGAAGGGAAGCAGAAACTATTGGAGGTGTGGAACAGTTTCCATACAAGGAGAGAGTAAAAAGACTGGAACTGTTCATCTTAGAATAAGAGATGACTAAGGGACGATATGGTAGATGTCAATAAAAAAAATCATGACTGGTGTAGAGAAAGTGAATAGGGAAGTGATATTTATCCCTTCATGTAACACAAGAAGCAGGGGTCACCAAATGAACTGAATAAGAAGCAGGTTTAGAACAAACATAAGGAAGTACTTCTTAACACAATGCACAGTCAACCTGTGGAACTCATTGCTCGAGGGCTGTTATGAAGGCCAAAAGTATCACTGCTTTCAAAAAATAAGTAAGTTAGTTTGTGGAGATTATGTCCTTCAATGGCTATGTGCCAAGATGGTCAGGGATGCAATCCCATGCTCTGGGTGTCCTTAAGTCTCTGACTGCCAAAAGCTGGGATTGGGTGATAGAGTATGGACCACTTGATAATTTCCCTATTCTGTTCATTCCGCTGAAGCATCTGGCACTGGACACTGTCGGAAAACAGGATACTGAGCTAGATGGACTATTGGTCTGACCCAGGGTGGTGGTTCTTATGTTTTTATATTAATCTACTGTATTATTCTTCTCTATTTTGAGTTCTGGTTTTATGCTGCTGCCTTACTGCTGTCTTGTTAATCTCTTTTTAATTTTTGGTAGGTTTTAAATTAGAAATGATGACATTTTATTCTTGAGTTTGTAGGCCTCTCAGATTAGCTAGATTAGCCTGCTGCTAATTGTTAGGGGTAGCTTCAAAACATGATTTCATTATGTGAAGATCACTCTTCATGAGAACTCCTCTTAGTGGCAAACTTGTGGGATTAAACAAAGCAATCTAACTTGGAAATGCAATAAGTAGATCAGTGGTGATCAGAGAGACCATGTTCTCTCTGTAATTTTCATTTTAAAAGTTTAGTCTGGGATTTTCAAAGAGATCCATGGAGTTAGGCAATCAACTCCCATTAAAATTGAATGGGATTTGAGCACTTAACTAACTCTCTTGGGCTACTTTGAAAACCCCAACCTTGAGAATGAATTTAAATCCTCTAAATTTGCCGTTATGGATAAGGTTAGTATGATCATGGACTGGGAATCCTGCACCCCTCGCCATGCAGGGACATCAGGCATTGCAGGTGGATTCCAATGTTCTGCATTATACAAATGAAATGAAATGGCTGGTATGTCAACAGCACTGTTGTTTTAACAAACAACATGGGACGGTTATTCAGTGTTACAGTGTCTTAGTGCGTTCCTGCTTCTAGAAAACATAGTTCCTGCATTTAAAGAAATACAAATAAAGTACTCTTGTGGACTCGTCCAACAGTTTTAACTTTTATAGGATTAGGACCTAAATAGACATTGACTCGGAGTGTATGCACAGAACTTCATGACCTATTGTACTGTTACTTCTTAGATTTACCAGTGCTTTCTTTTTAATCCTAGGTATCAATTCTTGTGCATCATCTTCCTGTAGCCACCTGTGCTTGCTTTCTTCATCAGGGCCTCGGTTTTATTCTTGTGCCTGCCCTTCAGGATGGACACTTTCTCCTGATAATGTGAACTGCATGAGAGGTAAGACCATAATAGTCAGAGATGCAAAAAAATAAAACAAGCAAAGAAAAAACCCCCGTTGGATCATTGTCCATTCCTCTGCTAGGGCAGGATGTACCACACAAAATGGTGGATTGCTATTTATGGAAAATATATCCTACATCATTTTAGGCAGTTTGCATGGAATGTACTTTTTCTTGAAGATTTGGGGCCAAATTTTTGCAACAGCTCTGGGCCAGATTTTCAAATGCTCAGCACTCGCAATCTCTGGGGGCAGATTTTTGAAAGAACTCAGCTCCCATTTAGGCACCTATAAAGGAGCTAGATTTTTTAAAAGCATTCAGCACATTGGGTGTTTTTGGCAGAAATACTAGTGAAAAGAGTTAATTTTTAGTAAATATTAGAGAATATTAACAGAATGTTGAACTTTTTTTTAACTATTCAGACTAGACACCTCATTCTAAGACTTGTAGTAATCCAATCAGAGAACCAAAGGAATATCATGTTGCAGTGTATGTAACTAATAATGCCTAATTGCCAAGGCTGGCAAAGAGATGAATTATGGAGAACAATAGGAACTGTTGCAACATGCATCTGCTGTTCCTTGGGTAAAAATTCTGAGTACGACGTTCAGGACCTCTAGAGGCACAAACTAGTATTACAAATACATCTGACTTGGGACTGATCAAAACTAACCTACCCAATTTGAATTTCAGATATCAGATAATTACACTGATTTGCCCTTGACCAATCTGCAGACCAAGGGTTGTTTGCAGAAGTCATTCAGCAAATTAATTTTCAAAAAATTCAAGAAAATCATAAATTGCTTGGAGGGAATTCATGACCAGAAAAAGAGACTAAATTAGTCAAAGAAAGTATTTGCTGTGAATTGTTCACTTAGCTCTGGAGATGTGCAAAGTGCTTTGGTGTGTTTCTCAAGGGGAAGCTCCAGAGCACATGAAATTTAGGGTAGAAATGCTTCTGGGTTAAGTAAAGAGTGGGGTTCTAATTCAGCGGACACCTTCTAACTCTCTGAGTTTTCAAGGGAAAATCGGTGGTGATTTTTTTTTTCTGAATAGATCCTTAAGCAGTGTATTCTTCAAAAAGCCATATCGATTTCCCCTTACTATAAGAATGATAAACTAAATAAAGTGTTTTAAGTGTATATGCACCACACATTTGTTTTTCAATCTGGAGAGAAGGGGGCTACTCATGGAAGTATGCACTATACTCTAGCGTAAGAAGGTGTAGGGCTGGGGTTAGAGAGAGTACCATGAAAGAAATAGATTACACCTGTGATCAAGCAAACATGCACATGAGAAATGTTATGCATGTTTGCAGAATCTTTTATGCCACTAGCCAATGGGTCAAAATATTTGGAAAGTCTTGTCCTTTCTTCCTAGACCATAAACCAAGGGCGTACTGTGAAACTTCCTAAATCCATTTATGTACCATTGTGACCTTTTTCTAAATTCCATAGCTGTGCAATACATAGAATTGTGCAAGAAAAAGGGATCTGTAGAAATTTCTGTTTGAGTGAAGAAACTGAATACAACTTCAGGTGATTTTAATCTGTGTAGGCTTCTTTATTCTGTTTAGTTAAAACTTCTATTATACATTGAAAAAACAGCATATAGAAAACAGCAGATTTTATGTATGCATTAGATTTACTACAGGTCAGATCTTATCAGCAAAGGGTATTATACAACACTGCTGATTCTTTTCATGGTGAAAGATTTTAATTATCGCTAATGATTACAAAAGAATAGGCATTTGCCATTCTTCTTCAGAGATTTATTATGATCGTAATCCTTGCTGACATTGTTTAGTTTAGCTTGCCAGCACAAACTTTCAGCAGAAAGATTAAACTGACTTACACACATTTTGGCTGTATAGTGGTCTTTTCAACAGAGTGATATTGGGGAACTCTGCATAGGTAATTGGCATATCTAACCTTATGTTGATGGAAAAGTGTTAATTCCCAGATTGCACATTTTCTTGCTTTACAAAATGGCTTTGGTAATTTTGATCTCAAGGTTAGGTTTTATAGTAATTCTATTTTTAAAACTTTTTGTGACGTGAGTGTTAGAGATGTTACCATTTTGCTTGGTGAGTCTAAAAATAAATGTAGACGTAACACTGAAATGTAAAATATTATGCTAACAAAGTAAATTTAGTGTCTCAAACATTTAATTGAAATGGAATAAGACATTAATTTTATATAAAATACAACTTAATCATGTAAATGTATATTGAAAGTAATAGCTATATGAAGGATATATTTTATGGACCTGATTCAGCTTCACTGATTTTACACTCATGTAACTCTATGAGCTTCAGTGAAGTTACTCCAGAGCACAGAATCAGGCTCTACATATTCATAGTTGTGAAATAAAAAACAACCCAACCAAACTCCTTGCTTTTAATATTCCATGGCTATGTAATGAACTTATAACTAGGTTATTAAGTATAATATTAATGTGCATCTCAGGCACTTCCCATGTGGCCTCCTTTTAGGCTAGGTCGACACTTAACATTCATGTAAGGGGCAGCATGTAGCTGTGCTTAATGAGGAGCCTCCGTGGCAGGGAATTGTGACTCTGAGGCCTTGTCTGCCCTGGGGTATTTTTGTACGAGTATAGCTGCACTGATGCAAAACCCTGATGTAAATGCACAGCACCTCTAAACCAATGCAAAAACCCCCCAGGGTAAACAACCCCTTAAATCAGGGGTTCTCAAACTTCATTGCACCGCGACCTCCTTCTGACAACAAAAATAACTACACGACCTCAGGAGGGGGGACCGAAGCCTGAGCCTGCCCGAACCCTGCCACCCCGAGGAGGGGGGGTGCAAACCCGAAGTCCAAGGCCTGTAACCTGAGCCCCCCCGCCCAGGGCTGAAGCCCTCAGACTTCGGCAGTGGGACTCGGGCTTCAGGCCTGGGCCCCAGCAAGTCTAAGCCAGCCCTGGTGACTCCACTAAAACGGGGACACAACCCATCTGGGGGTCCCGACCCGCAGTTTGAGAACCGCTGCCTTAGGCCTGGTCTACACTACGGGATTAATTCGGATTTAGCAGCGTTAATCCGAATTAACCCTTCACCCGTCCACACTACAGAGCCAGTTAATTCGAATTAAAGGGCCCTTTAAATCGATTTCTGTACTCCACCTCGACGAACGGAGTAGAGCCTAAATCGATTTTGTTAATTCGAATTAGGGTTAGTGTGGCCGCACACCACCGAATTACTGTGTTTAAGTTAATGGGGTAGTGTGGCCGCACACCACCGAATTAATGTGGTTAAAAACCGAATTAAGGTGCTTAGTGTGGCCGCGCACAATCGAATTTATACAACCTGTTTCCCAAATTCGAATTATCTAAATTCGGATTAATCCTGTAGTGTAGACATACCCTTAGAGTGTCACAATTCTTCCCTGGTTCCACTGCCCTCCCGGAGGTGATGTAAGTTACTGCTGCCCTTTACATGGTGCAGTTTACTTTTCCACTAGTACTGGCGCAGCTGTTCGAGCTGATGCATTGCTCTCACTCCTCACCACTCTCTACTCATTCCCTGCTCATTTGTTCATGGCGATGGGCGAGGGCCTCGAGCTGTAGTCCCGCTGAACCTGCTCTCTCCCATGTTCCCAAAGGCTGATCCTGGCGGAGATTAGGTGTTGGCTCATGCCCTTTTACTCCTCTCTGCACCTGCATTAGGGCAAGTGACAATCTTATCCTTTATTATTAGTTCAGTTAATAGAACTGAATGATTAATGACTAAAACTGGCTTTGTTTATTAGAACAGTATTTTTTCAAGTGTTCTTTGTTATGGTCTTATATTAATTCAGCAAAGCACTTTGACTTATCTTTAAACTACTGATCTAATTACTTCAATGAAACTTAAGCACATGCTTAAAATCAAGCATATGCTTAAGGGTCTTTCAATAGTGCCTAGCTGACTTAGGAGCACGTTTTATTGAAGTTCAATGGGGCCTGTGCTCCTAAATCACTTAGGCAGATTGAAAATCCCATATAAGTATTTTGCTGAATTAGGCCTATATTATAATATCCCGCAAACACTTACACTTGAGTAACTTTACTCATATGACTAGTTTCACT